TGAATAGTTGGTTCCTTTTCATTTTTCAGATTTCAGCTCATATTCCACCTCTTCAGAGGCCCCCGCCTTAATTGACTTAATGAAAGTAGTCCCTGCCCAGATAGTCTCCATCACACCACCCTTTTCTTTCCTTTTTAGCACTTACTACACTCTTTATGTTGTTGTTGTTGAAGTTGCTTACTTGTTTGTCAATTTACTTTCCCCATATGAGTTCAGGAAGAAGGAGTTGGTTGGCCTTGGCTTTTCTGTATATCCAGTGTTAAGCTTCCAGCACATATTAGGTATTCCACACATAATTTGATTAACTATTGACTAAGTGAATAATTGTGAGACATCTTTTGTGCATCCCAGAAGCACAAAAGCATGGCATAGTTTTTATCAGCTTAACTCAGTGATTCTCAATTCTGGCTGCATGTTAGACTTATCTGGGGAACTCTTAAAAAAAATGCTGGGTCCCATACCACATCCATTGAATCATAATGTCTGGAGATGGAACCCAGGTAACATTCTTTTAAAAGCTGTTATGTGATTTTTATCTACAACCATCACACGGGAACTGGGGGTAACCATCATTTTTCTTTTAACTCCAGGTCAACTTCTTTATCTTATTTGAGACTTTCAGCATGATTTATATGTGGGATTTTCTTGTGGATTACAAAACTTGTTCCCTGGCCATCTGGATATTTTATCCACTTGGGGATCAGCTTCTTTGAGATTGAAGGATAATAGACATTTCCTGGGAAATGGATGTGTTATCCCTCACAATCTATAAAGCACTGTAGTGTTCAGATTTCACTCAAGCTTTTGATTTATGTTTATACCTTCAGTGTCCTCATTGTCTGATACTTTCCCAGATAGGTCCATGGTGTGCTTCCCAGTCAGTTGAGGTGTTTGCTTATTCTTTATTAGAAATGCTTTTCTTGACTACCTAAAATTGCACCTTATCACTGTTATTACTTAGTGTTCTTCCTTGCTTTTTAAAATATATAACATCACTAATTAACAATATATTTATTTGTTTATGATATGTTTTCTCCTAGTAGAGCATAAGCTCTGTAAAAGCCAGAATTGAGACTGTTTTGTTTATTGATATATTCCTAGAAGTGTTCAATAAATACTTGTTAAAAGAGTTAAGGAATAAGTAGGCTGGGCATGGTGGCTCACACCTGTAATTCCTGGACTTTGGGAGGCCAAGGTGAACACCCGAGGTCAGGAGTTCAAGACCAGCCTGGCCAACATAGTGAAACCCTGGCTCTACTAAAAATATGAAAATTAGCCAGGCATGATGACGGGTGCCTGCCTGTAATCCCAGCTACTCGGGAGGCTGAGGGAGGAGAATCTTGAACTCAGGAGGTGGAGGTGGAGGTGGAGGTTGCAGTGAGCCGAGATTGCTCCATTGCACTCCAGCCTGGGCGACAGAGCGAAACTCAGTCTCAAAAAAAAAAAAAAAAAAAAAAGGGGGGGTGGAAGTAATGAGTAAATGAAAATGAGTTAAGGAATGAGAAATGAGTGTTCTGGCAAGGGGTCCCCGAATTGAATGCATATATCCTTTTCTGCCTTTTTCTCTTCCCAAGGAATTTGCTGTAGAAGTTTGCTACATCAGAAAACATTGTTTGGAAACAGAAATTTTGGTAGCACCGGGAACCATTTTATCCAGGATTTAACAGTCTCATTTTCCACCAATAGTAGTTAGCATACTGCTACTATGTGATTTATCTCAAATACTAATTTTGATATCTGATACTCCACAAAAATATTCTCTGTTCATAGCAAAGCCCTGTATACTAAGGTGAGATATTAGTAACTACCATGAGGAATATCTATTAATTGCTGATGGCAAGAATTTCTGTGGCTTATAGAAAGCTAGCTAATAGACATTCGGCTTCCTGTGTTCGGCAATTGTGATAGGTATCATGAGTGATAAGGAAAAAACAGGCATTTTCTTCCATCTAGGATCTTATAATATCTAAATATATAAATAATATAGAACTACCAATCACATTAAATAAAATGTGAGAATTATACATTTATAAAAGAGATGTAAAATAGGAAATTAATGCAAAATACAAATTAAGTACAAATTATCTTGGAATACATAATATTGAGGATAATCAGAGTTACCTAGTATAGTCCAGACCTTCTGGAAACTGGGTTTAATGAAGAATGTGAAGATGATAAAAAAAAGTACCTAGACACATTACCTTTGGGACTTGTAGAGGGGTTTCTGTTTACAAGCCTAACTCTTTGCTTAACTCTTGCTTGAATTCTGTTCCTTCTACTTTTTTAGTGTGTGATTCACTTTTTTTTATTTTGTGGGCTTGTTGTCAATTAATGTCCAACCAGCTTCCATGAGAAGGACATAAGAGTTGTTACTTTGAATCATTTATTTTCTATAATAAGATGCAATTTAGACCGCATCCCAATTGCTGCTTATTAGAATACCTTGGCCTTTTAAGCTAGATACCTCATGTTTGCTTCCCCAGATTGTTTCCTGATGTTTCCCACCCTGCTTCCATGTCCTGGTGGGCTGACCTGTAAGAACTGGTTGGGTTCAGCAAGTGAGTAGCACAGGAGGAGGTGGGTATGAGAGAAGAAGTTGGAACATTTGTTCCCCTGGCTCCAAAGTTCCATAGTCTGTGCCTCTCACCAGGCAGCTCTCTATACCCAGCCCTTCTCTCTCCTTGTAACATTAGCTGCTCTTTCTCTCATCCCTTCAAGCCTAGGGTGATAACATTTCTCATCCTTTAAGAAGCCTCCCGAGGCAGGTGGATTACAAGATCAGTAGTTCAAGACCAGCCTGACCAATATGGTGAAACCCCCATCTCTACTAAAAATACAAAAATTATCCAGGCATGGTGGTGTGTGTGCCTGTAGTCCCAGCTCTCAGGAGGCTGAGGAAGGAGAATCACTTGAACTCGGGAGACGCAGGTTGCAGTGAGCCAAGATCGTGCCACCACACTCCAGCCTAGCAACAGAGCGAGACTCTGTCTCAAAAAAAAGAAGGCTTAGGGTACAGTGTGTTTCCCTCTGTCCTACTCTTACCTTTGTGATTAGTCTTCGTTTTAACTGTTTCTTGAAGTACTCAGTACTAGTTGCCATCAATTTCTTGTTGTACTCTGATTGATCACCTCACCAAGCAGAAAGGGAATTGGCCCTCTGATGGTAAGGTGACGTATATGTTTCTCATACTTAAGACTGGAATCAGTGCCTCTGTGTGGGTTACCTAAACACATTCAATAGAAGTGTGATTCTGCCATTCAATATTGCTGCCATCTCCTTGGCCATTTGATAAAATTTATCTCCTATTGCTAACACGGAAGATGAGGATAAACAGTCAATTACTAATACGGACTAAGAAAATCAGAAAAGTCTGGAATTGGCTGCTGCTATTGAAAGTCTGCTATGCATCATAAGTGGGTATGTGACACATCAGGATGATGTTGGGTTGGGAAAAAGTGCTATTTCTCTGGTTATGGAAGCCCTCTTACTAAGGCAAAGGAGTGGTGACTGAAGACATGGTATTCTGGATTTTCAAGAGACAAATGCTTGTGTGTGTGTGTGTGTGTGTGTGTGTGTGTGTGTGTGTGTGTATTTCTGTATATAAGTGTGTGAGACCACTGTAATGTGGAATAAGTAAGAATCTTCAGGACAGAAATGTCAAACAAGGTCATTGGCAGTGGAAAAAGAAGGCCTTCATGTTTAGGATAAAATCAGGGGAGAAAAGTGCTCGAAGAATTGAAGTACTTTTGCAATACTGCCTCGAGGATAAAGAACAGTCAATTAGAACACCTAGGACCAGGAATGTATAATTCCATCTATTAGGGAGGAGGAAATTTAAATATAAACAAGAAGGCTGAAAAAGTAGGGTGTTGCCTCACTGTGGTCATGTGTTGAAAAGGAATACTGTAACTATGCAACCCTGTGTTTTGTGGAACCAGCTGAACTTCTCAGGGAACCTGGGACTATATTCCAAATTTTGCTGAACCAAATAAGCTGAGACAAGTTACTCAAACCTAAGGCTTACGGGTTACTCCCACCCCCTGCCCCACCCCCCTGCTGAACAACATACACACTTATATTTGTGGTTCAGTGGAGATAATTTTTGCTTATATTTAGAAAAAGCAACAGTTGTTTGAACACTTTTGGACTGTTTGGCAATCTTTGGAGATGAAATTGGAAAATGAAATTCTGCTGTCATAGCTCAGTTGGGTCATAACTTTTGAACAGGAACTGATGATGTCTCCTTGTATACCTATAATTGTGACCTAGAACATTCTTAGGACTGATCAGGGTATCAGTAGTTGCCAGGAATTGCTCAATCAAAATTGCAGTAATTGAAAGCACAGAATAATCCTATTTATTTACTTCTGCTAACTTCTGGATTGAGATTTGTCCACACTAGGCTGTCATGATACATCTACTACTGATTCAAGTACCACATCAGCACATTCTAGCTTATGGGTTCCTCTTTTGATGCTGAAGCAAGTGATTCTTGATTTAAATCTCTAGGACATGGCAAACACTAAAAACTAAGATAAATTTTAAAATCATAAGAAAAGAAATCTAAGACATTTGAGGTCTTGCCAATACCTAATGATATTTTAAAACTTAATTAAATTCTGCTATCCAAATAAAGATTATACAAAATTGGTAAAGCAGAAATACACAGGTCTTAAAATTCTGCATTCTTTCTGGAAACAAAGAATATAAAGGATGAGAAACTGCTAATACATTTTTTCTCTTTTAAAACAGAAGTTAAAAATAAATTTTAAAAATTAAGGTAAAAGAGGAAATTTAAGTACCATATTAATTTGCACATTTCTTTCATTATTTCCCAATATTTCAGCTATACAATGTTGATATTGAGAGAATTATGCATTTCTCTATTCTATTATATTTCATCCTCAGCAGACTCCATTATGTATTTCTTCAGAACAGATACTATCACTTTTAAATGTTTAGACAAAGAGTTGAACAGGAGAAACAGCTTGTTTTGCACATTTTTATTCATGTAGCAGTGTGGATATTTAACTTATCTTTCTGAGTCACAAGTGTTTGTATTTAACATTTCATTCATTTCTGTCATTTCAGCAAATAACTAATACAAATAAATACCTCCTATGTATACTTCTGGAAATGTGCACATTTCTTTTCTTAAAAATTGTCTGCCAATAAAGAACTTTTATAACTCTACAACAGAAAGACAAATAACCCAATTAAAAAATAGTCAAAGAACTTGAATGAATAGATATTTCTCCAAAGGAGAGAAACAAATGTCCAACAAATTCATGAAAATATGCTCACTGTCATTAGTTATGGGGAAAATGCAAATGAAAGCCACAAGGAAGACAGCACTTTATACCCACTAGACTGGCCATAAAAAACAACGCAAAACAAAAACAGAAATAAGCGTTGGTGAGGATGATGAGAAATTAGAATGCTAATACATTGCTTATGGGAAGGTAAAATGGCACAGCCACTGTAGAAAAGAGTTTGATGATTCCGCAGTAAATTAAACATGTGATCTAGACATTCCACTCATAGGTATATAAACAAAAAATTGAACATAAGTGTTCAGACAAAAACCTGTACATGAATGTTTATAGCAACTCTATTCTATTCACAATAGGAGAAGGGTAGAAAGAACCGAAATGCCCATTAACAGATGAATGGATAAACAAAATGTAGTATATTCCTTCAATGGTATATTTTCAGCTATAAAAGAGAATGAAGTACTGATACATGCTACAACATAGACGAATCTTGAAAACATTATGCTAATAAAAGAAACCAGACACAAAAGGCCACATAGTATATGGTTCTATTGATATGAAATATCCGAAAAAGGCAAATCCATAGAGACATAAAGGGAATTAATGATTGCCTGGGGCTTGGGGGTGGTGAGAATGTGGAATGACTAATGTGGGTATGTGGTTTCTGTTTCTGTTGATGAAAATGTTCTGGAACTAGATAGTGGTGGTGTTTGCCTAACATGGTGAATGTAGCTAATGCTGCTGAGTTGTTCTTTATTTGTAGCCATTTCATTTATTTAGTTATTATTTTTATTTTTTGAGACCGTGTCGCTTTATTACCCAGGCTGGAGTGCAGTGGCGTGATCTCGGCTCACTGCAACCTCTGCCTCCAGTATTCAAATGATTCTCCTGCCTCAGCCTCCCTAGTAGCTGGGATTACTGGCATTCACTACCACTCCCAGCTAATTTTTGTATTTTTAGCAGAGACAAGGTTTCACCACGTTGTCTAGGCTGGTCTTGAACTCCTGGCCTCAAGTGATCTGCCAGGTTTGGCCTCCCAAAGTGCTGGGATTGCAGGTGTGAGCCACAGCACCTGGCCTATTTGTAGCCATTTTAAATGGCTTGTGCATAATAGAAGATATTTCACTGCTTTTCAAAATAATCTTTTTATGATGAGGTGAAATGATGTCCTTTCGATTGAATGACATGCAGCAATTAAAAATGTGCATTATACTGATTTGGGGCCAAACACGTAACTTATGTGGTTAGACTTCCCAGTCTTAACTCCAGTCAAATCTCATAGGCTATGAAGGCCGAATGGTATTTCTTTTTTTTTTTTTGAGTCGGAGTCTCAGTCTGTTGCCCAGGCTGGAGTCAGTGGTATGATCTCGGCTCACCGCAATCTTCCCCTCCCAGGTTCAAGCGACTCTCCTGCCTCAGCCTCCTGAGTAGTTGGGACCACAGTCATGCACTATTACACCTGGCTAATTTTTGTATTTTTTAGTGGAGACTGGGTTTCACCATATTGGCCAGGCTGGTCTGGAATTCCTGACCTAGTGATCCTCCTGCCAAGGCCTCCCAAAGTGCTGGAATTACAGGTGTTAGCCACGGTGCCCGGCCAATGCTATATTTCAAGTCACAGGTGTGGAGTCGGGGTAGACATCAAAGTACACATGGTGCCCGGCCAATGCTGTATTTCAAGTCACAGGTGTGGAGTCGGGGTAGACATCAAAGTACACATTTTCAGAGTTAAGTGGAATTCAGTGAATTCAAATCCTGGCTTTTCTGATAACAAATGTGGAACTTCAGGGAAGTTACAGTAACCTCACAAGTGTTTCCGCCCTAGTAAAAAATGGAGATAGATAATATCTAATTGAAGGTGACATATTAATTGAATGAGTTCGTATATGAAAAGTGCTTAGGACTGGACTCAGCATATGGCAAATGTTCAGTAGGTTAGCGAGTTCTAAGACAGGGCTTATAAATATACTTTTTCTAATTTTTTTTGTGAGAAATTCACCTTCAGTGAGAAGGAAGTCCACTTATCTTGCCTGCCTTGGCAGGATTCTAATTGGAAGGGTGTCTTTTAACATCCTGACTAGAACCTCATGCAGAGATGGTAATTTTTTGATTAAATGAGGTCAATAGTTAAAGTGGTCATCTCTCTATTTCTACAGTCCCTCAACCCCCATCTCAGCTCTCCCCAAGTATTATGGAACCCTTTCTGCCAAAGAGGGCAGTTCTAGCTTTCAGGAATATTCTGCCAGCTCAATATGCATCTCCTTACTTATCAATAGTAAGAAAGTATTTGATGGACAAAGAAAGAGAAGATTATTGCCTGTTTGAAGTTTAAAAAGAAAGCCAGAAGAAAAAAAGAAAAAAGAACAAAAGATAAAGTAGATCTTGTTTCTTCAACCACGCTCCAAATTACTGATTTCAAACTCTTTCCAAGGATCCGAACTGTTCAGTAATGTGGGCTCCGCTCTCTCTGATATCCAGCCAGAAGCTGACAGAAAAACTCAAAGGAAATCATGACTCTTGCAAAACAAAAGACAAAGGGTGTACAAAGCATCATCATTCGAGTGGGAAACCTGCTTGATAGTCCCAGCTCAGCACAAGGCTTTCCACGTCTCCTTGACATTAGTCAGCTGGATGTCAGCTGTGCTAAAGCAGTTTTGCCAAGGGGTGTGAAGAAAACACTTAAGTGTAAAACTTATTCCTTGATCCTCAAGGAGCTTACAACAGCGTTGGAGAGATTAACCGTGTAACTGACACTCCAGGGCGGGCAATGAAACGTGACACAGGCGTTGGCAGGGTTCTTGAAGGAGGGAGATTTCACAGTTAAGGATCATTTGGGGTTGAGGGCTAGTCAAAGAAGGCTTTAAGAGGTGGGGTGTAAGTGGCGGGCAGGGCTTCAGGTGGGAGGGAAATTCAGGCGATCCTAGCCAAGGATTCAGGCACAGCACGTCCGGATTGCTTGCCTGGCGGACCCGCCTCACACTTTCGGGCCACGGCGCGTGCGTAACCCAACGTTCGCGCTGGGCGCAAGGCCCGCGGGAAGCCGGCCAGGGCCGGAGAACACGAGACGCCGCGGGCCAAGGCGGGAAAAGACTCGCGCATGCGCGGCTCTGTGTTCCGGGCTCCTGGTTGGGAAAAGAGAGGTGGAGTTTCTAAGAGGGAACTTGACCCGTTAGCAGCCGCAGCCATGGCTGGGCGTTCGCCTCCCTCACCGCCCCCTCCACCCCCGGCGCGACAGTTGGGCCCCAGGTCCCCACGTGTTGGGCGGGGAGCTGAGGTACACGCAGTGCGCAGCGAGGCCTCGGGTCTTGCCGGCGCAGCCCAGGAGGTGGTGGCAGACAAAAGTGATATAATCTGGCTGGGCGAAAAAGGGTCAAGGGGCCGGCAAGGGCCTAGGGGGGCAGCTCCGGCTCATGGTCCTCTCCTCAGCGCGCCCATGGGGTCCAGGGGGCTAGAGGGCATCTCGGTAGAGGAGGCGATGGTGACCCGGACGCAGCTGCTGGAGGAAGAGCTGAGCAGCCTAAAGGAGGAATTGGCCCTGTGTCAGGTATCGAGGACTCTCGCCACGGGACCCGTGGGGAGGCGCTCCCTTCTCCCTCTGCCTTGGGACCTACCCTGCCCCGCCCGGCGACTCTCCCTCGCGGTTCCACACCCCGCTTCGCCCGCGGCCCGGGGTCTGGAGGGACGCGGTTGCGCCCCACTCCCCGACCCCGGGCCCGTCCCTTTCTGAACAGCGGCCAGACAGGCTTCTTTTGCGATCCCGGATTTGGTTTTGGCCACTTGGATACACTCAGCTGCATCCCCTCCCCTTTCCCCAAAGCCCAAGTTCTTGGTAACTGTAGCTGATGCCTGCCTGGGGCCCAGGAGTGGCGTGCAATCCACTAGGTGAAATGAACAGGAAAGTAAACACTTGTTAAAGTAAAATCTGTTGTTGAAGGAGCATGTTTTTAAAATTCAAACCCAAACTTGCCTTTGTTTTTTCCCAAACTGAAGTTTTAAACACAGACCACTCACGTTGAGAATGTCTCCGAGCTGGGAACTTAAAACAGATAATAGTTGGTACTTGTTTATTAACCAACTATAGTAAAAATGCGGTCCTTGAGTGAGAAATCTCATTTTCATGTGATCTTGTCGGTGAAAAGCATTTGCTAAATCAATTGCATTAGCGTTACTTTCCTGTTTGTAGAGTTTTTGTAAGGATGGACTTGACTGTACTCATGTTCAAAGAGATTGAATTTTCCTTTAGTTTTGCATCCTTACTATCATCTCTTCTGATTTTACCAGAACCTTTAGATATTGGGAGATTGGATGTTGGAAACTCACTCAACAGATCTTTAAGTCACTCTGTCTTCAAGGTAGAAACCAATTAGGAACTGCTGAACACCAAAGTAACTTTGTGAACAGTATCATCAGTTTAATAAAACAATTCATGAAATTCATTCTCTTAGAGTTTGTTCTGCTGGATTTTTTTTGCCCGTTTTATAGATCCTTGCTGACTGAGTGAAGGCTGTAAAAATTGGACCATCTTCAAATTGATTATGCCTTTGGTTAAACAAGGTTGGGACATTTTATGTGGTGCCCTCTTTTCATTTTTCCCATTTTTCTTTTCTTCCTTGGATGAGGAACAAAGAGATGAGTAAATGACGCCAATGAACTGAAGCTTTTGTCATATGCAGACCTCACCCTTTGGCGAGTTTTAAGATGTGAACTCATGATAAAGGCCTTTGATACTCTGAGTCCTAATCTAAGATACTCTTTGGCATATTTTCCACACTCTTTCCTCCTATCTCTGGCTCCCCACATAGTTAGGCTTTAGTTGGCTAAGGAGCTAAGATACTTTTTATGAGTGACTTAGTTAAGGAGGTCAGTCTGTTGGAAACAGCCTGGTGAACCTCTTCCCCCAAATACTTACATTTTTTAAGACTAGCTCCAAACATGGTACCACTTTTTTTTTTTTTTTTGAGACAGAGTTTCACTCTTGTTACCCAGGCTAGAGTGCAATCACACGATCTCGGCTCACCGCAACCTCCGCCTCTTGGCTTCAGGCAATTCTCCTGCCTCAGCCTCCTGAGTAGCTGGGATTACAGACACGTGCCACCATGCCCAGCTAATTTTTTGTATTTTTAGTAGAGATGGGGTTTCACCATGTTGACCAGGATGGTCTCGATCTCTTGACCTCGTGATCCACCCTCCTCGGCCTCCCAAAGTGCTGGGATTACAGGCTTGCGCACCGCGCCCGGTCGGTACCACATTTTTACATGGAGCCAAATGTGGCTCCAAACATGGACTAGGAAAATGATTGAAATACTCTTGGCAAATGTAAGAATACAGGGATGCTTGTAATAGCCTAGAATGATGATTTCTTAGAATTTGTAATATTAATACTCTTATACAATTGTAGGCAGTATCCCGCACCATGAAAATCTTAGTCAAATCAGACTCCTGCTCTTGGGGAAACTTGGGGTAAAATAGCAATTAAACTCCCAATTGTTTTGTAAAAAAGCATTTAGGTAATTAAATAATTCCTTTCATATCTTTTAAAATATATTACCCCACCAGTTTATTCAACTAGAACTCACAGTACCGAAGACTACGGAGTATTAAAATTGCTTGAAATTACAACTCAAAGTAAAATTCATTTTGTATCTCAACCTAGTAAGTACACACACACAAATAAATACATGTGTTTTCAGAAAGAATACATACACTCACACTATGTCTGCTGATTTTTTTCAGTTCTATTCCTTTAAAAAATCCTGTCCAGATCTAAATTAATTTCAGAACCCAACAATGCTTGAAACATTCAGTTTGGGAAAATGAACACTGCTAATTAGTCCATGGTCATAAGTAGTAGCTTCGTTTAATTTGTTTTGCTTTCACATTCAGCTTATGGGAATTCAATGATAGGTGTTTGGTGAAGTTTGAGTAATTCCCCATACCATTCTATGTAACTGGAATGCCTCAGAATAAGCATGTAATAGAAAGCAATCAAACATTTCTCTTAATATCAGCATCTCATCCCACTCTATGTATTATCTAATTAAACTTAAAAAAATATGGCCCCTAGATTAGCAAGTGAACTACAAATAATGCTTATCTGAAGAAAAAGTGATTAATTTCAATGAGGGAAGAAAAGCTGTCTGTATTTGTCTTACTGAGTATAGTAGGTTAGCTTCCAAATGTAGCTTTTTCCTAAGGAATTTTTCGAGGGTGTTCCAAATGGTAATTTTGCATCCATGACATTTATGCCCTGTTTCACTAATTTAGAACCTAACTCCACTACACTTTTAATTTTGATTATATGCTTCAAGAATGCGTTCTGTTTGTGATAAAGGATGCTAGGGCATGTGTATGTGCACATTTATCACCATTTATAGACTTTTATGAGAAAAAGTGTTTTGTTTACATAGAGTAATACTATGCTTATATACTATTTATAAAGGTTATTTTTTGGTATCAGGTAAAAATATTTACTAAATCTATAAGCCAGTTTTAGGAACAAAATTGTTTACGGTATTTAAATGAAATATGAGATAAATTAGTTTCATCATTAAAGCTCATCAACTTTAATGATGAAACTAACTTTTGAAGCAGGTGATGTTGGAATTATATATGATCAGAAAAGTCAGCCAGTTATATTTTATTTTAGAAATTTAGGTGTGTTGAAACTTCATTCACAAAAACAAATTTGAGAACTTACTGTATAATTAATTCCTCCAGTTGTTTGTAGTTGTATTCTACTTGGTGAGTCTTTTTGTGAAATTATTTTTCATGCTAATAATTTACTAAGTGGCTACTTGGTGCTGTATTTTGTTAGTAAACTCTTGACATGGTTTGCCCTGAGCTCTGATGACCAAATTATTTGTTTAGATTTAGGAAACAGTTTCAAGTGTTTGTTCAGTTCATTCCTCCAGCAGAGGTCAATTGAGGGCCTAATATATTGCCAACACTAAATTATTTCTCATGAGACTAGGTACCCAATGAAAAATGGCAATTTTAGGTATCTGTAGTTGTATAGATGGTATCTATTTCCATGCCAGTTGATGAAAGAGAAAACCAATCCACGTCCAAGGAAATTTAGACCTAAGTCACCTAGTATTTAGTCAGCTGTTTCATAGCCTGAGTTTAGTATAGTTTGTGAAAAGGAGTAGGAATCATTATTATTATTTCATTATTATTTTGAGACAGATTTTTGCTGTCACCAGGCTGGAGTGCAGTGGTGCGATCACAATCTCGGTTCATTGCAATCTCCACCTCCAGGTTTGAGTGATTCCACTGCTGCAGCCTCCCAAGTAGCTGGGACTATAGGCACATGCCACCACACCTGGCTAATTTTTTGTATTTTAGTAGCCACGGGGTTTCACCATGTTGACCAGGATGGTCTTCATCTCCTGACCTCGTGATCTGCCTGCTTTGGCCTCCCAAAGTGCTGGGATTACAGGTGTGAGCCACTGCACTCGGCCATTTTATTTTTTAATTTTTAAAAATTATTATTTAATTCTGTTTGGAAGTTCTATAGTGAGAATAAAGAATTTTATGATAGTACTTTGGGAGGCCAAGGCAGGCGGATCACCTGAGATCAGGAGTTCAAGACTAGCTTGGCCAACATGGTGAAACCCTGTCTCTGCTAAAATATAAAAATTAGCATGGTGTGGTGGCATACACCTGTAATCCCAGCTACTTGAGAGGCTGAAGCAGGAGAGTTGCTTGAACCTGGGAAGCAAAGGTTGTAGTAAGCTGAGATCACTCCATTGCACTCCAGCCTGGGTGACAGAGTGAGACTGTGTCTCAAAAAAAAAAATTTATAGTAAGTAATCTTAATAGGTTTTTATTTTTTGTTTTCATTTTATTTGTGACAGCCTCCCTCTGTTACCCACACTGGAGTACAATGGTGTAATCATGGGTTATTGCATAGTTGACCTCCTGGGCTCAAAGGAACCACCCACCTCAGTCTCCAGAGTAGCTGGGACTACAGATGTGTGCCACCATGCTACGCTGATTTTTGTATTTTTTATAGAGATGGGGTCTCTGTCTCCCTATGTTGCCCAGGTTGATCTCGAACTTCTGGACTTAAGCCATTCCTCCATCTCAGACTTACGGGCATGAGCTACCACATCTGGCCAAGGTTTTAATTTTTATTACTTAAAAAGAACATCTTTAAGTGCCTGAAGATAGGGAAAATATAAAGAGAATATGAGTGATTGACAATAGTTTTCTTGTGTTAATATTTGGAACAGTTTGGAAACTAGCTCTGTGTTTTTTTGGGGGGACTTTATTTTTTGTATATGAAGGAGTTTTAGTAATTCTAGGTATAATCCAAATTGAACATAATATAGCATCTAAATAAAACACTCACAAAACTCTTACATAACATAGTTCCACAATCCATTTGTAGCATTTTATTGTTCACAAAAGAATTTACTTTTTTTCATATCACCAGCCTTACTGTACAGCATGGTGGTATAGTTAATAACAATAGGTTGTGTACTTGAAAATTACTAAGAGGATAGATTTTAAGTGGTATCACAAAGAATTGGTGAGTGTATGAGGTAATGGTTATGTTTTTTTCTTTGTTTTTTGAGACAGGGTCTTGGTCTGTCACTGAGGCTGTAGTGGAGTGGCACAATCATTGCTCTCTGTAGCCTTGATCTCCTGGACTCAACAATCCTCCTACCCTCAGCCTCCTGAGTAGCTGGGACTACAGGCGCATTCCACTACAGTTAGCTAATTTTTAAGTTTTTTGTAGCGACGGGGATCTCACTGTGTTGCTCAGGCTAGTCTCAAACTCCTGGACTCAAATGATCTCCCATTTTGGCCTCACAAAGTGCTGGGATTACAGATGTGACCCAATGTGCCAGCCCTAATGGTTATGTTATTTGGCTTGATTTAACCATTCTAAAATGTATACCTAATCAAAAAATTATGTTGTATGCCATAAATATATGCTAATCTGTCAATTAAAAATATTAAAAAAACAAAAATTCCAGAAAAAGAAATGGGTAAATACATTCCTAATCTTGAAATAGAGGAGGCTTTTCTAACTAGTACATAAAATCCGTAAGCCATAATGGAAAAGATGGATAAATTTGATTATGTAAAATTAATAACTTACTTTTTCAAAAAAATCATCATAAATAAGCAACAACAGACTGGGAAGAATATTTCTAATAGTGGGTAGACACAAGTCTAATTTTAAGATGTTCTTTAAGTTTCCAACAACGCTTATATTTTATTGGCAGAACTTAGTCACATAACCCATAAGGCAAGAGAGGTTGTCTGTTAATTGGGCAAAATTATTTCTGTAACTGAAAAGAGAGAATGAATGATAGAGACAGACAGAAGTTGAGATATCTGCCACACAAGTAAAACCAAATAACTGAACATACAAGATTATTAAATGTGTTGTGAAAAAAAGATTAAAATGGGAAAAGGGATTACTAGAGACTTGGGGGGTTTTGGTGGCTATTATAGTAGTCAGGGAAGAATTCACTTGAGCTGTTATTTAAGCAAAGACTTGAATAAAATAAGGGAATAATCTATATGAATATTTGACAGGTCATACCGTGTGTGCACAGGCCCTGTGCAAGTAGAGTAAGAAAGTTTATGTGACTAAGGAAGAAAGTGACAGATGAAGTTGGGGTGGTGTATATGAGCCAGGTCGTGTGGAGTCTTGTAGCCTTGACACAGAGTTTGGATTAATTTCCTAATCTGATGGAAACTCACTGGAGAGTTTTGAGTTGTAAGGCTATGAGACCATGATAGAGAGTTGGGCAAGAGATGAAACTGACTTGGATTAGGGTGATAGTAGTAGAAGTAGTGAGAGTGGTCAGAATTTCCCTAAAATGTAGATGAGGACAGTAGGGTTTATTGATGATTTGGATATGAAGCGTGAGGAGAACAGAATAACCAAGATTGACTCCTAGGTTTTAGATTAACCTAACCCCTGGCCCATGGGCCACATGCTGCCCATATTGGCTTTGAATGTGGCCTAACACAAATTAGTAAACTTTCTTAAAACATTATGAGATTGTTTTTGCATTTTTTTTTAGCTCATTAACTATTGTTAGTGTATCTTACATGTGGCCCAAGATAATTCTTCTAATGTGACCTAGGGTAGCCAAAAGATTGGGCACCCCTGTTTTAGATCTTTGAATAAATGAATAGATGGTGGTATCATTTTCTAGGAGGGAGAGGGACAGGTTTGTGAGAGGGTAAGGAACCAATAATTTTATTTTGGACAAGTTAAATTTAAGTTACCTATTAGGCTTTGAAGTGGAATTATTGAATATGCAATTGGAGATGTAAGTCTGGACCTAAGAGTAGAGGAAATGGCTCTAGATAGAAATGTGGGAGTCTCAGTGTAGAGTTGGTATTTAAAAACATGGGTCTGATATGAGGTCACCTAGGGTAGTGGTTCACAACCCAGAGTGCACTGATTCACCTGAGGCACTTTTAAAACATACTGATGCTTGGATCTAACCTAAGATAAATTAATCAGAATCTCGAACTCATTCCTATTTTTTAAAAGCTCCCCAACAGGGATTCCTGTCAGCCAGGGGTAATAACAACTAACCTAGGTAATAAGGACTGAAACTACCCATTGTCCTTTAGATTTGGCAATATAGAGGACCTTGAAAAATGATTTTAGCATAATGGTAGGGAGAAAAATCTTACTGGGAACCATTAGAGAGTGAACAGGAGATAGGAAATGGACAAGTCTTTTTGTTTTCTTCAAATGGAGTTCTCTTGTTCCCCGTGGTGGAGTGCAATGGCATCATGATCTTGGCAACCTTACAGTGGCAACCTCCACCTCCTGGACTGAAGTGATTCTCCTGCCTCAGCCGTCCGAGTAGCTAAGATTACAGGCATGCACCACTATGCCTGGCTATGTTTTTTATTTTTAGTAGAGATGGGATTTCACCATGTCGACCAGGCTGGTCTCAAACTCCTGACCTCAGGTGATCCTCTTGCCTCGGCCTCCCAGAGTACTGAGATTACAGGCATGAGCCACTGTGCCCGGCCCAGGCACCTCTTTGAAGAAGTTTTGCTAAAAGGGGAGCTGATAAATGGAGCCGCAGCTGGAGGGAAGTTTCCTTTTAGAGCAAATTTAACTAGGTATTTAGCATTTCAACAGTTGCATCCCCAAATATCGGTGACAGAAATAGTAAAAGTGAATGTGGATTACCTGTGTAAAAAATTTTTAAAATAAAGCTTTCCCCCATACTTAAAAAAAAATCAATTGATGTAGTTATAGAACTAGGGGTCAAGTAATTTATTTTTGTTTTAAAATTTATTATAGTATCTTGGCTGTCACTACAAGGCAATGCATCTGAAGTCTCTTTTATTTCTTTAAGGCTGATAAAGAATTTGTATGGTCTTTGTGGAAACGTCTCCAGGTGACAAACCCAGATCTCACACAAGTGGTCAGTTTGGTTGTAGAAAGGTGAGCTCTCAAATTATTTTTTTGTGAGTATTTGGTGTGTTGAGTTTGTTTCTCTTCATTATTAAAGTTAATACTTGTCATTAATTTCCTGAAGAGATTCATTTCATTTCTAAATAAATGTGGAGCCAAAAATTAAGATTGTTGGATTTATTATAAAGGGTGCCAGTTCACCAAATAAAGGTATGCCTATTCATATTCTGACATATTTGGAGAGTGTGTTGCTAAGAGATAAAACTATGTTTTTAATACTGTGTGTGTGTGTGTGTGTGTGTGTGTGTGTGTGTCTGTCTGTCTGTCTGTCTTGAACTGTTATAGCTCAACTTTAAAGATTGGCAAAGTCCCTGTCGTTTGACTTTTTCTCCATAGACTGCCTCTATAGGGAACTTACTAGATGTGACTCACTTTCCCCATAAGATAATTGCAGTATGCAATTGAAAACCTGGGATGACCTTGCCAGTGTAGAGTAAGTGTTCTGGAATAGGTTGAGGGATTTTACTTAGCACTCCATATTATCCTGTAGGGGATGCCCAGTCATTTAACTGTAGATTATTAGGCCTCTCCTTTGTCACTAGAAACAATGGAATGATGCTTGTTCTCCCTATCAAGCATTTGGTATACGGTAGTCCCATGACACTTAGCACAGCAATTAAAACACTTGCTTTCCTGTTACACGGATTCCATTATACCTCTTAAATTAGAAGCTAAGCATATGGATACCTTTTCCTTTTCCTTTTTTAAAAATTAAAATGCTGATCATATAATCTGAATATCATTTTTTATTACTTGAACTATATTCATTTTTGTAGTCTCTAGTCCTGGGATCATTCCAGTGTTGTCTGGAATTTGACTTGTTTAAAATCTGTAATATATGCCTGAGTATGTCTAATTTTACCATCTTTAGTTATTATGAACACTTAAAATAGTATAATCAGTTTCTCATGTTGCTTGTATGTCTAATTCATCAATCATTTTTTTCCTCTAATGATCAGAATTTAGTCTTTGTTGAAATACCCTTCTTAATTCCTCAATCATTTTTGAGATGAAATGTGATAATTCTTAGACTCCCTCTGTTTTTTAAGTAGAATAAGCCTTCTAAAGAAGCCATGGGACTTCAGTTGTCATTTCTGTGATTCATTTTTTATACTCCCCTCTTTTTATTTGTTATTTTTTAAAACTTTCTAAACCTATCCATAATTTTTACTTTCCTCTTGGTTAAACAGAAGCAGATATTAAATTATTGTTAGGTCATCTTCCTTATCCTTTCCAATGTCTATTTTTCATATTTATAATATATAAAATATATATTCATATAACATACAATTTATAAATAAATGTACATACTGTATATTAGAGATAGGTGCTCAAAAGTCTTTTGTTGATAAGATGTGTAATGAGAAATTTGGAGATTACTGCTTTATAACTATGATTCAAAATTTAGTGTGTACAAGTTATACTTGGAGAATTTATTAAATGAAGATTTCTGGGACTTTCACCTGATATACTGAGTCTCTAGGGGTGATCTAGGTTTAAAATAAAGTTTAAAATAATGTTTCCAGGTAATTTTGATGTCTGTAGGTTCCATTGTGAGATACTTTGGATTTCGAGTTTAATTTTGAAATTGGAAACTATAAGTGGCATTTGTAATTTAAGACTATGTAAATATTTCCAAGAGAACCATGTAGTGTGTTCACATCCATTGAGAAGTGCAAATGATATGCCAAGTATTCAACCTATGTCTGTTAAAAGTAATATTCTAAATATCAAGGTCAAATAGATTATCTTTCTGTATAGTCCATTAATTATCCAAATATGATCCATTTAGGTCTGTTTAATTTTTAAACCATGGACTTCCTGGACAGCATTTCCCCCTTGGAATTTCTCATTGCCCTTCCCTTTACTTTTTCTTGTAAAGGATGCCTATGTTCATTGTCCTCTTTACTTTTTCTTATAAAGAATGTCTGTGTTCTTTGTCAGATGTTTATATACTTGGCTGAGGACATTTTCCTTGTTCTCTTTGGCTTATAGTATGGATTTGGTCAAATGAATTTCTAAACCTACTCACAGTTGTCATCATAGGTTTTCTTTTTGTTGTACAGCTGAACTTATTCCACAGTTTATAGGATGCCAAAACGTCCTTTTCTTTTTGTCAGATTATTTATTCAAGTTTTTTTTTTTTTCTCAGAAAGGATGGTACATTTTCTGACTCCTATGTGACTGAAAATATCTTTCTCTTGCCCTATGCTTAGTTGGCACTTCAGCTGAATATAATATTTTATGTCCATGTAGTTTGCCTTGGATTTTTGAAAGCATAGTTCTGTTATCTAATTTTAGCATATAATAATGCTACCAAAGAGCCCATCAGTGTGATTCTTGTTTCTTCCTAGATACTTGCTTGAAGCGTGTAGGATTTTCTCTTTAGATGCACTATTACTGTAAAATCTCAACATCATCTGTTTATGTGGGTCCTTTGAAAATTTATCTTTTTCAGCCTTTGGTGGGCCTTTCCATCTGAAAACTTAAGATTTTCTTTTGATTGAGAAAATGTTCTCATATTTTTTCTTCATTGTATTATTTGTTCTAGCACTCTGTTAGAAGTTGGATCTTATGGATTTAACCTTCTTTTCTTTTTCTCTGTTATCTCATGTTTTCCATCTTTTTATCTTTCATTGTAGGTCCCGAATGGCCTTCCTACTTTTTGTTGCTTCAATAAGTGGAATTCTTCTGTTTGTTCTATGCTATGATCTGAATGTTGATGTCCCCCCAAACTTCATATGTTGGCCCCTAATACCCAATGTGATAATATTAAGAGATGAGACCTTTTGGAAGTGATTACATCATGAGGGTTCTGCCTTCATAAGTGGGATTAGTGCCCTTATAAAGGGGTTTAAGGAGCCTCCCTCATCTGCCATGTGAGGATACAGATGGTGTCATCTACAAGGAACAGACCCCTCACCAGACACCAAATCTGCTGGTGCCTTGATCTTGGACTTTTCAGCCTCCAGAACTGTGAGCAATACATTTCTATTGTTTATGAATTACCCAATATAAGGTATTTTGTTATAGTAGCCCAAATGGATGAAGATTCTCTCATTTTTTGAATTTTTAAATTTTAGAAATCAAGTTTTTACTTCTAAGAAATTACTTATGTGATTTTTCCTTTCTCAAAACAGCTTCCTTTGATAGAATAACTTCTTAATCTTTCTGATTATAATTTTTAAGTTATTTTCTGTTTCTTGAATTATCTTTGTTTTCTGTCGGGTAACTTGTTTGTTCTTTTTAGTCTTTCTCTTTTTTAAATTAAAAAAATTTTTCTCACCTTTCTCTTTGATGCTATTGATTTTCTTCAAATGTATGATGAACCTTCACTGCATTGCTTTATATAGGTATATTGCTCATATGGGTTTGCTTTGTTTTTTATATATCTGTTTACCAGAAGGTTTCTCCTTTGAATGTAAGGATTGCCTATGGGCTTTTTATAAGGCCTAGGGAGAGGCCTGTTCACAGGCTTTCCTGAAAAATGTGTAGTAGATAGACTTCATTGTAGTGAATGAGAGTTAGGTCCTTTAAGTCAGGCCTTTTTCTAATTCTGTTGCTTTCCCAACATTCAGAGTAGGGATCTTTGCCAGGCAAATGGTTGTTCTGAAAGCGTTTTTGGGCATTTGATATAGGCAAATGCTGCAGGTAGCTGTTCTGAACATGGATGAGAGGGAGGCTCAGCTTTTTTGGTAAATGGTTTCTTAATTAATTGTCTTGATTTCTGTGGGCTTCTGCTGTCTGTACTTACTAATTGGGTACTTATAGCCTTTCTGGGGCCTCTTCCATGAAAAACAGCCATCTTCTTCTTCTGTAGACTTCTATTTAGGTTTTGGATTAATTTTTTCCTTTGGTTTATTTGTCTCTATGAGTCTGTGCTTCTGTTTTTTTTTTTTTTGAGACGGAGTTTTAGCTCTTGTTACCCAGGCTGGAGTGCAATGGCGCGATCTTGGCTCACCGCAACTTCCGCCTCTCGGGTTCAGGCAATTCTCCTGCCTCAGCCTCCCGAGTAGCTGGGATTACAGGCACGTGCCACTATGCCCAGCTAATTTTTTGTATTTTTAGTAGAGACGGGGTTTCACCATATTGACCAGAATGGTCTCGATCTCTTGAGCTCGTGATCCACCCGCCTCGGCCCTTCAAAGTGCTGGGATTACAGGTGTGAGCCACTGTGCCTGGACATGTGACTCAAATTTTTTTGCCACTTTGTGTGTGCCTGCAAATGACTACAGTAGTGCCACAATTACTGAGTTTCATGTTAACAAATAAATTTTATTGAGGAAGCGAGTTTACAAATTCTGAATCCATTAATAAGAACTGACTATCTCTAAAAGATAAGGGGTCTTTTAACAAAACAATGATATCATCATCATACTTAGAATTCTATAATTATTTCCTATTATAATTAAATATCCAGTTTGTTTTTACATTTCTCGGATTGTCTTGTACCTTTTTAAAAAAAGGTTGGTTTGTTCCCAGGAGGATCAAACATGCATAGCCTACCTGCTAAATATATTTGTTCATTTTTTTCCTCTTCTGCCTTTCTCTTAGTCTTTTTCTTTCTTCACAGTTTATTTTTGTAATAGCTTGAGTTTTTTATTCTGTAGAGTTTCCCCAAATCTGGATTATTGTGTAGTACTCTGTACACCATAGTTGCCATAAGCTTGTAGTTAGAACTAGAAGCTTATTCAGATTCATTTTTGATATTTTCACAAAAATAATATTTTTAGATGTTACTATTTACAAGGCTTACCATGGAGATATCACAGCTTCAGTTCCAGACCACTGTAATACAGCAAATATTACAATAAAGCAAATCAGGCAAATTTTTGAGTTTCCCAGTACATATAAAAGTTATATTCAGGCTGGGCTCAGTGGCTCATGCCTGTAATCCCAGCACTTTGCAAGGCCACGGTGGACAGATCATGAGGTCAGGAGATTGAGACCATCCTGGCCAACATGGTGAA